GATATGACTGGTTAGCACATCCGCCTCACAGTACAGAGTTCAACTTTGAATCTGGGCTCCGCCCTTCATGTGTTGAGTTTGTTCCCCCCCTGCCTGCATGGGTTTTTCTCCAGGTAATCTGACGGCTCTTGCCAGTCAACGTGGGGCACGAGTGCCGCGAGCACAGCCGGTGCTAAACGCTGGCAACGGGCGCCGTACAATACAGTATTAGCTTAATGAAGTGTTTTTTAGCGCACTTAATTAACATTTGAACGTTATTTTAGGACGCCGGTGTGTCGTTGACATCAGTACCAACAGTTTGTGACATCAATAAAAATGCCCTAAACATAGTCTGGAAGACAAGTCATGCCAGCTGTGACATGTTTCTGCGAACAACTTCTCAATAAAAGCATTCCAAGGCATTGATGTCCATATATTATTTGGTGAGGTATTATTTTGAAGTCGGCCTTCTTTGCCGTGTTACTGCCATGGATAGCATGAACAAATGTTGCTGCAGTTAGCTTGATTTCTTCCTGAAAATGTACATGCAAATAAGCGTGTACTCGAGGCAGAAAAATACATGCCTCAAGCAATTTTTGACCAAGGTACCGGAATTACTCAATGACTCGCTTCAGCCCTAATGAAGACATCATCCTGCTTGTGTTGTTTCTCAGGTGGATTCTGGCTCGGCGTGGACCAGGAAGGCATAGCGGGCTCCCTCTCCTGGTCAGGTGTCTTCTTTGGCGTAGTCGCCAGTGCCTGTGTGTCTCTCAATGCCATCTTCACAAAGAAAGTGATGCCTGCAGTGGACGCAAATATCTGGAAACTATCCTACTATAACAACATCAATGCATGCATCCTCTTCCTCCCACTCATCCTTGTATTTGGAGAGGTGGGCCGCATTACCAGGTTCAGCCGCCTCACTGATCTGTGGTTTTGGGCCATGATGACACTTGGAGGGGTGTTTGGGTTTGCCATCGGTTATGTCACAGGCTTGCAGATCAAGTATACCAGTCCGCTAACTCACAATGTCTCAGGGACTGCAAAAGCCTGTGCTCAAACTGTTATTGCAGTGTTGTACAACTCCTCCAGTAAAACCGTTCTGTGGTGGACCAGTAACATGTTGGTTCTAGGAGGGTCTTCAGCCTACACGTGGATCAAGAGCCGAGAAATGAAGATGACTCCCTCCGGGCCTCAGGATTTCGCCAAAGAAAAATTGATACCTGGAGAGAAAGCAAACACAGGGGTATAGCCCCCCCCCCAAAAGAAAACAAATCATAAATATTAAAATTTAATTCAATATTTTGTCTGCTCTTTTTGTATCCATAATGTGAAATGCACTTTTGTAGTCATTTGAGGTTTAATCACACTGCGTTTATACTGTAATTTCAGGTCACTTTTTTTGTCTTTAAATTTAACACTTGTGGTTCCTTGACACTTGCTAGTTAAATTCACTTCATACTGAGGTTGTTACTTTATTTATGCTTTACAATTGGCTCACAGCACAAAGCAACAAAATTGACTGAGCGATGGCATCTATCTAAAAAAAAATACTTGAACGTAGGTGTACTGTACGTAAAGGTACCAACGAACAGTATTTATTTCGGGGGTTATGCTACAGTTGCCTTTACAATCACTGACTAATCTAGTAATGTTCATGTTACCGCCAGATGTTTAAAAACATGGTATTTCATAAACATGAGTATCATTTTCAAATAACAGTTTGTGTGCAAATAACAGTCAGCATATAAATGTCTATTTCAATTGCCCATATTTGTTAGGTTAATATTTGTGGGGTCAAATCCTTTTGCGCCCTCTAGTGTCCACGGGGCCCATAGCGTTTGCCTAACTCACCAAATGAGGGAGCAGGACCTGCTGCCATCACACAAAAACACTTTGAAGGGAGCGTTTGTTAGTTTTTTTGTTTTTGTTTTGGTATATATATTGTATGAAATAAATCAAACAAGTCGCTGATGGTGTTGTGGTACACTTGCGGGACTTGTGTGTGGACAGTGTGGGATCGGATCCCAGTCAGTGACAATATGGGTGTGAATGGTCGTTTGTCTCTATATGTGCCTTGCGACTGACTAGCGACCACTTCAGGGTGTAGTTTGTCTTCTGCCCAAAGTCAGCTTCAGCAAATCCCCGCGACCCTGTTCAGGATCAGCGGTATGGAAAATGGATGGATGGATGGATGGAGGGTTAAATAAAAAAAAAAAGTTTAATCAAATTACTGTGCTTTTGACTGATTGCTGTTTGGAGATTCTTCTATTTAAAAAAAGATCCTCGTAGCAGTGGCCAACAATGCAACAATTGCAACAATGAATCACGTGACTCATTTTAACCTCGACATGTTTTGACAACGGGCATGTGAGCAAATAAAAACATGATGAATTATCGAACACACTCTGTGCCACCTTTGCAAAACGTGCTAAAGTCAATGGGTAAAATGTGCTCAATATCTTGAACAGAGAACGCCTGAATTTTAGGCGAGCTCCAACCAATTGCGTATCTGGCTTGTGTTTTAGTTAAAGGTCAAGAGTGAAGCCAACTTGGCCAACCATCTTTTGACTAATACTTAAAGCTGAAACTATTTCAAGCATAGCTTTGTTTGTTTGTTTTTTTTTTTGTTGTTGTTTTAACATAACCCACCCAGATTGATAGTTAAAACCATTGCAACGCGCTTAACAACGAAAATGCTTTTGTTCGGCAACCTCTGGCAAGTGACGTCGTTTACAGAAGGCCGAGTACCAGTCAGCCGTTGCAATGCATTGTTGATTGTCCCGTTAACTGCTCTTTGCCAATATTATCGAATTATTCGGCGAAATGCCTCGGCACTGTGTGGCGATGATGCGCTGTTCACGTTCAGGCAAACCGTTGTTTGAGTGACCAAAAGAATCGTCCGAAATGAATTTCACACCGGTGACGACGAGCATTCTTGTTAAAAACACTTCGAAGACATCTGTTTTCTCAACCGGATTTGCAAAAAATGTAGGTGGGGTAATTATTTTGTAACTCTGGCTGTTTATGAAAACATTTGATCCAAAGTATTATACGTATAGATGGATGTAATCATGTACAAACATATTTCAAACTATATTAGTGCATGGATGGAATCTTCTGCAATGATTTTGCAACTAAAAATGCTGCTGATATAATTCGTGGAGTGGTCGACAATGCAACAGAGCTACTTTAGCAATGACAATGTAGGACACCAACACACTATAACGTGTGATCTCAGTGCTAGTGGGAATAGATTGACCAAATAGGTACAGTAATCCCATCGTGCACAATTTACAGCACAGCAAAGCATAGAATTGCAAACAATAACTTTATGCTAATAACTGCTGCTCATATAGTTTACCGTTGTTCTAATCCCGATGCGTCTCGTCTCCACTCCATGTCGGGCTGTTCAGACACAACATTTTCCGCATCCTGAGCATTTGCGTGTACATGTATGGTCCAACGTACAACTTTCCAACAACCTCCTCTTCCTCTAACTCAGGGGTGTCAAACTCATGTCACATTGTGGGCCACATACGGCCTCGGTAGATGTCTAGTGGGCCGGACCATTAAAATTATTCCATACTCTGCTATAAATAACCAAAATAATATATCTTTGAAGGAAAATTTTGAAATTTAATGAATAGATCTTTTACAAAACATTTCATAAAGCACCTTAGATTTCCTTAGACAAATGTGCCATTTACTTTGATCATTCACATATATGCATTGCAACTGTAAGTACTGTATTGACATGTCCTTGAAAGCGTCTGCTGTGTTGGGTCTGTCTCAGTTACAGACTGAGACTGCTGTTGTCTTCTTCTCTGATCAAGAGTGTGTCCCCTAGCGGATACTCTATGAATTGCACCTTATTAAAAATATTCATTCCGTGTCTTTATAATGCATTTTTTTCACTTTTAAATTATCCTGCGGGCCTGATTGAACCTCCTTGGGGGTCGGTTATGGCCCGCTGGCCGTATGTTTGACACCACTGCTCTAAATCTTCAAACACCTCGACCCCCTCAGATAAATTTAAAACGTCACTTTTTTCTGAATCGATTTCCGACTGGCTTTGTACACGGCGGCCGATCCGCGGACCACTGCGTGTGGGCCGGCCTGGCTGGGTCAGCTGGTGCTCCTTGCGGCGGCGATGTTGCCGGCGTCAACTATTTCGAGTCGCTAAATTCAGTTTAAATTCATCTCTCCTTTTATTATTTATTATTTTATCTGTGGTTTTATTGATCTTGTTTTGATTGTAAAGTGTCCTTGAGTGTTTTGAAAGGCGCTTATAAATGTAATGTATTATTATTATTATTATTACTTACCATCATGAGCCCCACTATTGTTGTTTTAAAGTGACATCACACAATACAATTACTTTATCAAATTCGCGAAATAGAAAATATTTTTTCATCCTTTATTTCATGTATTTTGTTTAATTATTTTATTTGTGAAAAATATTTCAATTGGGATTTTCTCAAATTACTTCCCAGGTGACGTTTAAAAAAAAGAGTAAAATCATGCGTGGTGATACTATGATCTGAAATTTTATTTAAACATTGTATTGCTAGTCCGATCAACCGTACGAGCGCTGCGTAGAGCCGAGATTCAAATCCTAAAACCCAGAACTGTGAGGCAGATGTGCTTACTACGAGTTTATGGCTCAGAAAGCCAGTAGTACGTGTTTTTACAGTGTTTCCAAAATGATTGTTCACTGTCTTTTTACCTGATGGTTAAATGAACCTGTAATTGTGTTCTCACTTCTCAGAAAATAAAATGCAAACGACTTGCTTCGCTGTTGTAATTCCACATTTTGACACTTGATAGCAGCAACACTTCACTTCAGTGGATAACACAACTCGAGCTGATTCCTATTGCATTTCATCTTGACCAAACCCTATTTTGCCATGAAAATCACATTTTGCAACCCCCAACACATCCAACCAACCACCCAAAATGAACCACACTAGAGTTCAGTTAAATACAAAGCAAACACAGATGATGAAGTTCAGTTTTTCGATGCAATTATATTGAAAGAAAAAGCAAAGCTTTTTGTGTTTACCTTTCATTTGCTCTCAGTATTTTTCCAACCACTATTTTTCCCTGGCTCAAGCAGAAATTGCCACTTAGAGTCCCATCTGTCATCTGTCAGGTTGACAAACACAAGGAAACAAATGGATCCCTTTTGCAATTTTTGCATTGCAAAAGAAAATTATACTTGTCGATAAATTCTGCCTGTTTGTGTTTTTGAGCACTGCGTGCCAGAATCCCAATTTTCCTGAAATATGAAACCGCTTTTAAACAAAGCTATCTAGAAATGGCCAGAGTGTCATGAATGTCATTCACATCTCTGCCTGTCCACTGTAGCCAAAGTCCATGTCCATGGTTATTAAAGAGGCTGGCTGCTGGTTTCTTTTCCGCGGCTGCCTGTTCCTTTTACATTCCAATTGAATCTGCTCAAATGTCTTATTAATAACTCCAACAGGATGTGGAAAGCAATTACGAGGCACACATTTGATAGAAATGTGAGTAAGCCTGCAGAGGCTCCATTTAGCCCTCTCAGGGTCACGAAATGGAGAGTAGAAATGGTGAGCACGGACCATGTTTGCCAGAGCTGATTTTTGCTCAGCTTCCGTGGAAAGAATACCATTCAATCTCCAAAACAGACAATGTTGTATTATTATGATTAATTATCTCCATTTGTTGTCTGCTATGCTTGTCTGGCCTTGTCGTTTCAGAGTGTGGGCTTTCTGTTTCTCTCATCATGAATGTGTTTTGTTCTAATGTTTCTGCTCTTATGAGGATTTTTATCTCACCGAAGCTACGCCGTTAATCAAAAAATAATTACAGCATGAATGAACAACGATAACCTGTTGATGTTACCTAACAGATAGCTCAACTTCACCATCAATGAATTTGAGTTTGATTTCAAATAAAGGGATGACAAATTGGTCGATATCAGATGAGAGTCGGGGCAATATTTGCCCAATTTAAATTTGATGCAACAAGAGAGAGGTATAAAATCCAAGGTCTTGAGGTACACATTGATATAACTCTACCAGTTTTCTTTCCTTTTCTTTTGGGCAAATAATCTACAATTGTCCGACAAACTGTGATGCGTACCAGTACTGCATTATTATACAATAGTTGACATTGCACTTCTTCAGCTTGAAGCTCACAATTATTTTGTGGCATGTTTAAAATAAATAAATAAATAAATAAATAAAAACTAATGTAAATCCAAGTACAGGGGTAAAAACATGTCTTGGCCGCTTGCTGATTTCTTTTACAATAACTATATACAACTTACAACATACAACTTTTTTTTCCAAGAAAGAAAGACTCCACTTGTAATTGGAATTAAACCCTGTTGCTTTGCCATTCTGCATTAAACCTGCACAGGTATGGATGTCTACCTTTTAGGCAGCGTCTTAGTTTCTATGGGTAAATACTGCATGTACAATATGAGTGCGTCAAGGCAAATGTGCATGTGAGGTCAGGTGTTCGTGAGTTCCCATGCAGACAGTCCAACGTGCTGTCATTGAGGAACACACTGAGAGGATTTGCTAAACATAGCTCTTACTCCTAAAATGCAGACACCTGCCGCGTCACTTTACAGCTTTGAGCATGACATTAAGCAAAGCAATTTAACAATAACGTGGGCTCGAGCCAAAATGTATGAAAATAGGTGTAAAAGTATGCACAGCACCCAA